ACACTTCAGCATGTTATTCTTATTAAGTGAGGGTCATTTTTTAGGATTTTTTACCCAAGCAAAGTCTCTGAGAACCAGACACCTTGTCTTCTGGAGACTACAGGTAAGTTGCAGTTCTGGAAAATGGTGGTGCTGGAGACTAAAGGGTTCCTGGTGGTTTCACACCCAATTCTTCATCTTAAAGGGGTCATATGATGCGATTTCAATTTTTCCTTTCTCTTTGAAATGTTACAAGCTCTTGGTGCATAAAGAAGATCTGTAAAGTTGCAAAGACTAAAGTCTCAAATCCAAAGAGATATTAACGCACTGGATAGCTGGCCAATCAGAGCACACCTCGCTTTTCAGACCGATGAGCTTTGTAAAAATCGACGCGTTTCAGAAAGGCGGGGCATAGAGGAGAAACAATAATGTACAGTATGTGGAAAATAATGTGTTTTTTTAACCTTAAACCGCATAAACACATTTCATTACACCAAACACACAAAATAATGTTCTTTTTAGCAACATCATATGACCCATTTAATTCTTAATTCTTTTGCAGTTAACATGTCTCTTTTCTTCTCCACCTGTTTTTTTCTGACCCTACTGACCCAATGAGCATTTCGCTGTCCAATGATCATGACTTAACTTAGTATTGCATTAGTATTGCATCCTTCTCATAGGCATTTAATCATTTTTGACTTTTAGTCCAAGTTAAATCTCTTTTTTGCCTCATTTTATCTGTAAAAGAAAACCTGCTTAATAAGGAGTTTTTCACTTCCAGCCTTCATGGACAATTATGTATCACTTATAAATGATCAAATACAAAATTAATAGTAGTTATTAAGATTGATGTGGTTTGGAATTGGTAAAATGTGCTTGGAAAAAAAATATGTTCAGAATATCAACGTGCCTAATAATTATGCATGCACTGTGTATGTGTATATATATATATATATATAAAATTTTACATTTAAAATTTTTTTTTTACATACGTTAAAATATTTAATAAATAATATTTTTTTATAATTTTATAATATAGTAAAAAATTTAAAAGCCAAGATTATTTATACAAATTTTAAAGTATTTTAAAAAAGTGTAAAATATGTATGAAATATATATTTAAAAAAAATCAATTTAAAAAAATGTAATAAATAATTTTGACTTTTTAAATGTATTATATTACTTAAAAATATTATTAAATATTATTTCTTAGGTAGGCAGCTCACTAGGGTTTATAACCGAACTTTTGTCTATTTGATGCTGTTGAAATGTAAACCGTCAAAGGGGAAGTGCTGTTGGCTCATGTGACTGCTCACGTTATATTTGCCCCTCTGTGTTTCTGACTCCTGCAAGCATTTTATGTCTTCTCACCGTTTTCTTTGTCTAAAATCTGCCTGTTGGCCATATATCAACCCATTCAGAATGTGTCAGCAGTTGGATGTCGTCATTTACCTCTTTTATACCTCGAGTTCACTGCACTCATCCGTGTGTGTGTGTGTGTGTGTGTGTGTGTGTGAGTGTGTGTGTGTCCTTCCTAAAGCCAAGTAGGGCATCTCCTCTGGACTACATTAGCGTTGCTCGAGTAGACACCGTGGAAGTCACTGGCTGTTCCTAGGTTTCCGAGTGCGAGGTCGCCATGACAACAGTATGGATGCACGCTGGGAATACTTGACCCTCGTAAGAGAGCGGAGTCTGACTCCTGCCTCATCAGCCGCGCTCGGCGCATCACAACTGGGTTACGCTTGCGTAAGGAGGAGCGTTTGGCTGTTTTTTAATCGTTCATCACGACTCCGTGCTGGATTGTGACTGATTGCTGCTGTTTTCTAGTAACTGTAAGCTGTATTTCTGTCACAGCTCACTTCTGATCAAATGAAATGAGGGAAATTCAAGAGACTGATTGGAATCATTAATGTTGAAGTGAGGAAAACAGGTGGTTTGCTTATCTTACCCCTCTCTTTTGATGGTTTTAGAGCGGTTTGAGCACTTTGTCAGCTAAACTAGCTTAAACTAGACCAGCAAACCACCTCAGGCTGGTTTGTTTGTTTTTATTAATAATAATAATAATAATATAATTATTATTGTTATTATTATTATAAATAAACACTGTGCATTTTGTGCTCACTTTACAAAATAGCATTTACTTTTTCTCTTACAAAAAAGTGTATGTGTATGCAATTTCTTTAATAATAATAATAATAATAATAATAATAATGGTTTTATTATTATTATTATTATTATGGTTATGGTTTAAGCACTACACTGTTTTTGATGTTAAATATTTTGTGTGTCTCATTTTGCGGATTGTTCTGCTTATTCTATACATGTAGATTTTATTTTATAGATATAACACAGCAAAGCAAGCAGCATATATCTCATTTATTTGCTTAGTGTTATCATTATTTAGATTAATTTTTTTATTTTTTATTTTTAGTTAGTTGAAATAAAATATAAATATTAAATGACAATTTTTTTTTAAATGCTGCTTTGGCAACTAACTGAAATAAGTTTAAGTATTACAATTTTTAATGAGATTTAACTGAAAAAAAAAACCCTGAAATATTTAATTTCAATTAAAATATTTTATATTATATTTATAAATATAATAATTTAATAATTCTTAATTAGAATTTAGAAATATAAAAAATCCACAATAAAATGTAATGATTTCATCTAATATTACAATTAAAACTGGAATATGAAAATAAAAGTTAATTCAGAATATTATAAAAGTGCATAAGTACATAATTAAATAACTAAAATAACACTGCCTCAATCTAAACAAGAACATGTATGTTTCCAAAGGAAAACACACACACACACACATACATACATACAGTACATATGTGTGCGTGTAGTAGTAGTAGTTTGAGAAACCTGTTTAGAAGCGATAATTATTTCAAAGTTAAATGACACATTTCACCCGTAATTTCACAGGTGAAACATGACGATCCCACAGACGCAGGTTTTCCACTCGGCTCCTGTTGAGTTTATCAACGTAATCCTTCCATTTCCATAATGATGATTAATCCTCATGAATTTGTAGTCCTTGTTCTACCTGCTGAACTGATGTTTATATCACAGACTGAGCTCTTCTGAATGGACTCGTGTAAAAATAAACACGCAGCTGCCTGATGAATGTAGAGATGACCGTTTCATTCATGACTACATCTGTTTACGTGCCTGACTGATTGGTTTTAAACTGTTTGAATTACCCACAATCCCTCTTTAAAGAAGGAAGTAGCCTCTGTAGCCCTTATTGACCTCGAGACAGTGTATGACACTAATGAAATGTAATCTGTGTGTTTGATTGCGTTGCAGCTGAGTTTCCAGCACAAAGTGGGTGTCCTGTACTGTAAAGTGGGGCAGAGCACAGAGGAGGAGATGTACAATAATGAGAACGCCGGCCCGGCGCTGGACGAGTTCCTGGATCTGCTCGGTCAGAGAGTCCGGCTGAAGGGCTTCACCAAGTACCGAGCACAGCTGGACAACAAGAGTATGTGCTAATGCTAACACCATCAACATACAGCACAGAGCATATCAGCCTCAAACACTGGACACTCTTTTTGTTGCTTGATAGCACTTTTCCACATTTACAAAATTATATATATATATATATATATATATACACACACACTATTATTTAACTATTTATTTATTTATTATTTACTTAATTATGATAAAAATTG